CCAATCTCTGGTTTGGGGGCCCCTACTGTAAGTACCTCCATTTTGTCTAGATTCAATTTGAGTCGTTTTTTCCTCATTCAGTCCATTACCGCTTCAAGGCATTGATTGAGGGGAGAACTGCCATTTGCCATCATAACAGTTGACCAAGACATGGAGCAGAATATTTGAGTGTCATCAGCATATTGGTAACATCCTGCTCCATGTCTCCATGTTTATATGGTTGATCCAGAATTAAAATCCTGGTCTCCAGAGCTGTAGTCCAACACTCAAATCACTGTACCACTCGGCAAAGCATTATTCTCCACTGAATCAAAACAGAATTTTGGCCAAGATTGTGTTCTGTAACTGCTACAGTGGGTACAGCTAATTTTTTTTCCTAGCAGCTGAAGGTGGAAGCTGAACTGTCTTGCCATACTATTGAAATATTCTGTTTTGTTCATCCATAATAAATACATACTTCCAAGTGATTAAATGCACCATTTTGGAAATATAGAAGTGACTTGTCTGAAGTTCTGAAGTTGACATTTTTATCACTGCCAGACATGTACATAAGTGTGTGTTTGCCTTTAGCAATTATCTCTTTGAAATTGTCCTTGTTGGGATGTGAGTCAGAAAGAAGTGGCAAGGATTTGGCTTCAGAGATACATGCAGTCATTTTGTACTGATTCCCTCTGTCTTCCACAAAGAAGCTGATAGAGACAGAGAGACTCAGAAAAATTGCTCAGACTATAATAATGGTGGCACTATATTTTTGGTGCCAATGTCCTTCACAAGAATTCACACACATATCACACCCTTTATCCAAGGAACTGAGAGTGGCACATATGAATGGCATTGACTGTTGTATCCTCACAACAACCACGTGACATACAATATTCAGAGAAGGAAAAGGAGAAACATAGCGGTGAAAGAGATGGCCCCAAAAGTCTGGCTCCATGCTGCCTCTTTGAGCGATGGATCAGGACCATGGCAACCACATGCTGCATCCCTGATCTGGTGTTTTCTGGCCCAAAAAGAAAGGGCAAAATGCTGCTCCTTTTTGGATTGAAATAAGGTCCCCTTCCCACTGTGGTGGTGGCTGCACTTCTAGAATGGCATGACACCTCCCGCTTTACGTATGCCATGCCCCCATGCCACTCTGAACCTGGTGTTTTTTGCTGGTCTGCTTCACCCTTCAGTGAACTTTGTGGCCCAAGTGCCTCTGATCCAAGTCCCTTAGCTCAGCCACTGTACCCTATTCCAGACCTGTTGTTCAGTTCTACAAACCTCTTCATTTTGCCACTTCACATGCATGGAGGCCATCATGTGATGCTACTGTGCCATCCTCCAGTGATGTGCATGCAGATGTGAACTAGCCTGGTCCTCCTATTTTCATAATTCTGTGACTTCAGCATTCACTACATTTCCTGCTACAATTTTTTTCCCCATGACCCCTATCACAATGGGAACATTTTTGTTGTTCTTAATAAATCTCTATGAAATTTGATTGGCTGTTGATTAGATTCTTTTGCCATACTTGTGGGGGATAGATTTTGTAGTTTTATGACAATTCAGTTAGTAGGTAAAAATTTTTAAAGGATTAAAAACAAATTACAAAAGAGCAAACTATACTTGCAGAATTACTTTAACTTACCCTTCAACTGTCCCAATTTGACATGGACAGTCCTGATTAATCATCTTCCTCCCACTTTTTCATCTATTTTAAAATGTTCCAGTTTCTCTCCCCTCCTCCCACTTTCCTCTTTTGTCCTCAGCTTACTTCAATTGCTGCAAACTGAGCTCAAATGCAAGAGTAGTTTGCATTCCATTAACTCAGTTGAGGGGGGGAGGGGAAGGAGGAGATAGAGAGGAATCTTGTTCTTCCCTGTAGGCACAGGCAAAAGCAAACTGTTGTAGCCTCTCTTGGCTTGTGTGCTCTTCCTCATTAATAAGTTTGCCGTCTTGACCACATTCTGATGTTGCTTGGCCAGCAGTGGAGGCTATGCTTTTACCTTTTTAATTTCCTTTCCTTTTCCTCCTTCCCATTTCTTTCTTCTCTTCCTCTTGTCAAGAGCTTCCAAGCAACCAAGTTGAAACTATTCTCACAAATCAGCAGATCATGGAGTGCTCCAAACCCCAAACCTGTGTGCAGGAAAAACATTTCATGCTAAGTTACAGTGACATGATAACTCTTATCCTAGGGTTTTATGGCTCATTTCTATGATATTGTTCTTTTACATATGTACAGGCGCAGGAGAGCCTTATGCCATGAGAATAATGAAAGCAATAACAAACACTTGTTCAGGAGCAAGCAAATGTTAACAGGAATGAAGCGTTTCCACTGGTGGGGGAAAATGCTGCTTTCTAAAATAGAATAGTTAAGTTTGGTGCATTCCCTGATCCAGCAGTCTTTATTTTTATCCTCCCCTCCCCACCTTTAAACTTCATTCTTTTTAAGCTAAAAACATGCATATCAGCTCTTCAATTTGATTGCCTTATGGGCATAATGCTTTGCATATTTACTGCCCATGAATCATACCAGTATGTGAAACCTGGTGAAGATTCAATTTTTTCCTGCTAGATGCACCTCTAGCCGTTTAATTAAAATATGTATTATTAATAAAACTATATTTAAGTCATATTTTTTACAGATATGACTTGAAACATTAAGGGCAAATTGTTTCATACTTTCCCAGTAATTTGCTT